TCAAAAAACTCCACCAAAAAACTTCTAGACTTAATTGACAGATTCAGTAAAGTATCTGGATACAAGGTGAATACCCAAAAATCAATAGCCTTTCTATACACAAATAACAGACAGACAGAAAGAGAAATAAGGGAAAAAATTCCTTTTACAATAGCATCCAAAAAAATGAAGTATCTAGGAATCAATCTAACAAAAGAAACAAAAGATCTCTACACTTAAGACATTTTTTAGTGAATTTGTACAAAAGAAAAAATTAGTGTTTTTACCATTCGAGATTTTGCATTCTAAACATGATCTTGCTGATGTGAATGAGCATCAAAGTGATCCCCTTAGTTTTTACCTCTAAATCTGTACCATATATTATTCAGTGGCTATAACTGTTTCCATTTTCTGACCATTTCAACATTTGCTTCATATTGCTTTATATGTGTAGTTTGTTTTAGTTAATGTTAGACATTTAGACTATAACATGTTTTTCATAGTATCAGTAAGATTGATGTGCTTTGGATATGTTAAAGGTTGACCTAAGAATGAGAGAGAAACTTTATACATTCAAGTTAATATATGTGAGATTATAAAAATATATTGGGTGTAAAGAAAGCAGTATGTATTTATCCACCAGTGACTCCTTTTGAAAAGCTACTTTAGATATTAGTAATTAGTTCTTGTTGCTGCTCTTTAAAATGCATAAGCCCACAAATTCATTCCTTGAAATGAAAAATTAGACAAATTTGGCCTTTCTTTTACTTTGTCTATAGTGAAGTATCATTACTTTCAATTAGTAAGAATATATTATGCACTTCGCAAAAAAATTCAAAAGCAAACTGTCAAAAAAAAAGAAAGGCTTGTGCTTCCAATTCAAATCAACAGAATTTTCTTTTAAATAAAATGCTTTGCTTCAGGTTTGTGTAGGAAGCAGCTCACAAAATCTGATCTATTTGAGGAAAGAAATTCAAAAGGCACTATCTTAACAAAATAAATGTTTCAGATGCTTTCCATAATTTCCCAGTATATTCCCCAGTCTTCACTGACTTGACAAAGTTGCACTTACATTTTTCAATTGGCCT